TGATGGAACATTTTCATTCGTTGGTATTCGTGAGTTTGACTTTTATCTGAGTCTCCTAAGGAAGGAAACGCAGAAAAATCCGCCCCATTAATCAATTCACTATACTATGACTTATGTAATCGTTTAAGTCTTAGCGCAGTTTTCGCCTAACGTGGTTACGGCTAACTGTGTCCGTCAGGGATTCCCTGTGCCCACCGTTTTATTTAATTTCATCATGTACATACTAATTTATTGCCTCTTATAAACTTTGATGACGCAGAGGTTGATATTTTAGCAGGGGACAATACTATCGACTCAGGATGCGCAGATACTTTATTCCTTCCGAGTGAAGACACTGGCAAGCGCAGTCTTCTGAACAGCATGTACAGAAATCTCAGTGCTTTCGGCATGAGATTCGCTGCTGCGAAGGTAGATATATCAGAAGATTTGCAGCCTGGAGACATATGAACATTTGTTATGTATATATAAGATTATTACAATAAGTGCTATGGACGAAACCTAACAGTGATGCAGTCTACGTTGTCACTGGAGATCTTAAAATATACATTAGAGCAGACCACCTTGCATTTGTTTTGAACTGTGTCTGCTCTGACGGAATATTTCATATCCATTTATTCAGATTTCATTGTTGTTGTATTTCTGGTAGAGCTAAGTCTCTTGCATAGCTGAAACACCAGCACTTCGATACATATTTCAGGAGGGTGGTACATGCTGATCAGAAGATATGCTAGTTTTCACAAATGCGAATCACTCCGATCTGTAGGACAGCAATAAGTATTTTTTGACAGCTCCAGATTTAAACATTAGTCTAGATCCTTAACAAAAGTAATAAGGGTTGTACAGATCTAATTTATAAAAAATGCTTCGGCTTCTACTATCTGCAAGCCTGTTCAGCTTCTTGTCAAGATACCACCCCGTGGACCCTACAGAAATTCGTGAGACATCTCACAGATCAGCTTGTCCTATGGCTTCTAATCTTCGAGATCTTTGAATTTACTTCTCGCTGAAATGTCACTTATCTACCTCACGATAACCTTTCTATTTACGCACTATTATACTCTAATTTATCCTAGCTACCTAGGCCTCTATTAAAGCTAAAACTTACTCTCTCTTCATGTTTGTTGCTTGCCCAAAGTCTAGTTGCTTTGATTAAAAACACAACACCAATGGTTGAACAAAGCTATATTATCATTGAAAACATTATAGTTTCCATGCTTAGACCAATATGACTCAATTATGGATAAGATCTTATTTTGATAAATCACACAGTTTTATGCAGTAATATTAACTGATGAACACGTTTCGAGCACAATCTATTGCTGCTCATAATCATATCAAGTTAGTCGCACAACTTTTTTCCTTAATTTATAAGCCAGTATGGTCGGTCGGTTTTCGACATAGAACTTTGCACATATGTGCGGAAGTTCAAGTCGCCACAATCTATGTAGCACGCAAAGCAAGAGAAGAAAGTAGAAGAAATGCATAATATAGACAGTAAACAGAGGTGTGAGACAAAGGAACAGTAATAACGAAGAACAAAAGTTTCATTGGAAATCATAAGTCACAAGGAGTGGATGCATCTGCGCCACTGAGAACGATTTTGAGCCATGTCACCAATTGTTTCCAACCATTGGTTTTTACCATCCCGAGGGCCCCAACCAGGAAGTCTACATCTTCCTACATGGCTTAGACTAACTGTTGTGGATTTCATTGATTGGTGCCATGTTTTGGTTTGACCGCCGCTAGCTCTTTTCCAGCCTGACCCTATATCAGCTAACATTGCCCGTCGAGGAAGGCGATGACTAGGCATACGTAGCACATGTCCTAACCATCTCAGTCGAAGTAATTTCACAGTCTCGTCGATTGATTTCCCCGCCTTACCTAGCACTCGACGCCTAACCTCAATATTGCTCACCTTATTATACCACTTCACGCGGGAGATAGAACGCAGACACAAGCCAGTATGGACTTGACTAGATATTTGGATAAAAAGCAATATGAGATAATATACATTCAGATTTTTATTCTAACATCTAGTCAATTCCATACATGCTTATAAATGAAGGAAAAAGGTTGTGTGAGTAACTTGATATAATTATGAGCAATAGTTTGTGCTCGAAACGTCATCAGTTAATATTACTGTACAACACTGTGTGATTTATCAAAATAAGATCTTATCCATAATGAAGCTATACTCTACCGCAGTGCCCAAGTTTTATACTTATAACAATCAGACCAATACGGTTAGCAATAAACATTGCAAATGTATACTGTCATTCCAAGGAGTCTCCACCCCCTCCTCGTATATATCCTGTAGATGTACTTTCAATGACGCATTATCCATAATTGTATTTTATGCCATTTTGCAGTTTCCCAGGACGTTCTCCTCTTCAGGACACATCTTTCAATCACGTGGCGGCATAGCACATACTCCAATATACGCTAATCACTGGTTCGCTATGACTATCAACAGGAAACGGGATGAAGTTTGCATTGTCGCTCAACTTTGATGGCGGTCTTAGCAAAGGATTTACAATTTGACATTTATAAGAACCTGTTCCAATTGCTTTTATAATAATCGGACAATTTAAACTTTTGGAAAATTATTAATTTACAATGCTTCAGGATTGTAATTTTTAACAAAAGTAATACACCTGTAAGAATGGCATGCATTTCTTATAAACACCAGTTTACACAAGATATGAAATAATATTATTAAAATAGGTTTTCGACTTTACCTAGAGCTTTTAGGTTACTCGGGTTTACAACACTCAAGTGGCAGACCAACAAGACTTGTTTATCTTAGCGTGTGAGGAAGATGCTGCCACAGATGTAGCACCCCAAGATTTGGTAGTATATCGAGACAGCTGGATTTACCACGAGATATATATAGTGGGAGTAATCGTTCAATTTAGTTCACTCGCCAGGAAGATTAGGCTTACCAATCGGATCATTCCGAAGATAGTGTAACGGTAAATAATTCCCCAAAATTATTGACCACAGCAATCATCACTCAACATTGGATGCTGACCACCACTGTTTAAGTCGACTTGTTTAGCTGAAGGCTTCCGGTCAAGCATCCCCGCCATTTGGTACTCCGTCGCGTCACGTGCGTGCACGATTACTAGCTAGCTAAGCATTCACTTCTATCCGCGATTTGGTCCCGAAATATATCTCGTATTTGGACGACAAAATCTGGTCTTTTGCCTTATCTTTCGTACTCGAAGAGCGAACACTATATAAGTTGTTGGTATAAGATCTTGCGTTAGTATAATCCGTACAGTTCGCGAACGTCGATACCTGCAACCTCTAAAATAGTTATCTTCCGGTTCGAGAGGAGAAATCACATCGTATTCAAGGAGCGCACGTCAGTCACAAAAACACCTATGTCATCATCCGTAAAATGCGCTTGATGAAAAGTCATAATAATAAATGGGATACTGGCAAGTGAGTTGTATCGTTCAACCGTAAGTGGATAAATGATAGTGTGTCTCTGTGTGTTTTATCGAATAAAATTATTATATCAGGGAATTGTGCTCTACTTGCTGCTGAATTTTATACCCATAACAGCTGCCAAATACTTGGGAATCAACAGTAATTGTCCCTATAAAATTGGGCCGAAATTCTATCTGCGGGGGAGAAATAGAACAATAAACGTTTTTGGAGAATATTCAAGGAGAAAGAAGTCATTCCACAGCAAAACCTTCAGTTCAACTAGACAAGGATGTCGACAAGAGTACTGCATCCTCACCAAATAGAAAAGTAGAGAGTTTAGAATGAGATTCAGAAGAGAAAAAATAGAACGGATTCAGTCAGAATAAAACAGGCACCACGTGAATAATTCTTAGAGAAATAGACTTACACTCTTTGCCCAAACCGAAATAAAGCCAAACTGTTCCCAAGGAACTAGAAGAAATCCTAAATTAACCAAAACGGCTCCAGTTACAAATCCAAACCGAATGGCTCCAAATAGAATCACACTGGCAACGGAATGTCGAATAACTGCAAAATTATTATTCTATTAAACGAAATATATGAGGTAAACATGTTATAAACTTTTATATTTGAGTTTTTGGGCGTCCAAACATAGAGAGTACAACAGTTTAATACGAAATTTTTTCACGGTTAATAAAATACCGATTCAAACTATAAATTTTCAAGAATGAAGCACGAAATCTCCGAAAATTCAGAAACTGTTATTTCCTGTATCTTTAGAATTTCAGGTGATCGAAAAGCAGTTAGAATGGAGAGATCACAAATATCTTACATTTTGCCAGAGGTTGATTGCAGACTGAGCGTCGGAATATATTTCTGATATGCACCAGACACCATCTAAGGTGTAAGAAACATTCAACTGCACTCCACCTAAAATATGAGGCACGTGCTAGACGAAGTCCAAATGGCATGGACTTATCGTTGATCTTGTATCACAGAGAACTACATGATTATCTTATACACATTCTGTCGTCTTACCAGAGACGATGGGGTCCAAATGTAATCATCTACATACAGAAACTTACATCACACACTAGCAGAGTTTGTGGCCAACAGGTGTGCGTCGGCAGGGGATCGAACCCCGGACCATGTGCATGGTCAGCGAGAGTCCTAACCACTGTGCCACCGACGCACAGAACTACTCCTTTTGGAGCCAACCAAAGCTACGACAGTCGAGTGGCACGACGAGCTACGCAGAAGTTTACCGAAGATCAGGAACCTATATCTCACAATCAAGAGGTGAGCACAAAGAAATCAAATTGGTTTACACTAGTTCGTAAAAACGATATCGGATATTGGAAACACATCATCAAAATTTGTCTTTGATACGTCCATAGAAAAATTGAAATACTATCATGTCTCTCACAAAATCTGGAAAGACTACTCATTTGCCACATTCATTCCAACAGATTGAAGTTCTATGATGTGTTTCAATGCTTCGTCGTTGAGAGACAAGGTCACGCAATGTCCTTGGCAAATCAAACGTATGTATCCTCTAATTTAGAATGGTAAAGGCTATTGCATTCCCCTTGAGGCCCTTTACCATCAAAATAATTTTCTTGGCATGTATTCTTTTACTGTCCTTGCAGCTGATATTTTTTTATTCCTCGAGTATTGACGGTAAGTAAACTGTCATGGTGTTTGTAATACATTTTGTGTACACAACTACCTAGATAATATTTTTGTGTTCTGATATAATAATATATTTGTTAAATAATTTCTCGGCACATTATTTTCGTCACACTTTTGTATGTAGCAAAGTACCTTATGTGTATACAGAAAGAAATCTCCCTGTAATTTCTATAGAAATTTTTATATTTTAAATAAATTATGAAATAGCAATATAAATGATGCTAGCGAAACGAGAAGGAATGCAAAGTTTAACAAAAAGCCAATTGCAACTGTTTCTTTTCATAGGCTGTTTGTCTGTACTTAGAAGTGAACTTCATCTTTTCTGTTTGTTGAAGATATTAACATGCATCAACGATTCTTTTACTAACAGGTTGATTCCTACTCTTAGTATTATATATGGAACATTAGTACACAAATAAGCTTTATTATTACCAGTTGTCCACAGTTAATACAGGCACTCAAATTGGTTTTTTAAAATGTATGGTTAGTGGGATGAGGTGTTCCGGTACACAATTCTATTGGTTTTTAAGTCGATGTAACAGTTTAGGAGTAGTCACTTAACAGCTAAAAATGCCTTTTCTGTATATACAAACATGTTTAAAGTTATGTTCCTTTACTGCGTGGATAATCAGATATCCCCTGCTGACTGACGTTACTTTCGTTCATATCTGAAACTGATTACCTGGCCTTTATTGTTTGTTACGATAGTTATTTATATGAGTATTTTTTCGATAAACTTTCACTAATTAGATTGCTACCATGTTGCCTGGTGAGGGTTCGCATAAATCGATAGATCAGACTTTCAACTTTCTCTATTATAATAACCTAGAATTGCCCGCACGTTAATTGTTATTCAAAATAAACCTTAAACGTTTTACTTGTCCTAGCAAGTGTTGTTGACGGTAAACATTTCTCTGAAGCACTCCATAATGTTAGTAATCTGTAGTAATAAATTACTTGTGACATGATTTAAAGTGGTTTGAAAGGGCGGAAATATGTTCAAGCACGATGGCATTGTAGATTCCAAAGGACTTCACTAGTTTTCATTGACTTGTTCTTTTTATCACTTCCATTTTTTATAACCATAATATTCTATTTCTGTTTCATTATATTGTGAGACTTTCCAAATTGTGATAGTCGAACTGATTTACTATTGTGCATATCTCTCTGTCAGTTCATAAGACAGTAGTGCTTGGGCTCCGGACCCCATGTCTTTATATAAAGTCAAATAGACGGAACTGAAGACAATTAGGTAGAAGTCACATCTTGAAGTTGTAAAATGCTGTAAGACCGAAAATAGTTGGATGAGATAAAGAAATATGGTATTGGAATAAAGATAATTAAATGAGTGTGTTGATGCCAAAAAGTGGTTATGAGCCAACTGCTGCTACCATCAGACATGTGGACGGTAGTCACATAACATATACTATCTAGACCGACAGTTGAATATTTAGGAAATTAGTGTTATATCTTCATCTTGTCACTTGTTGTTCTCTTTCCATCTAGTCTTACTTCTACTCACATCGTGGTAAATATCAGGTAGGCATGGCTAACATTTTTTTTGACCAACTCAGTATCTCATAGAGGGGACCCGGGTAGGGTATGTTACAAATACACTGACAGTCGTGTTTGCATTCTTTACAAATTTGCCGATTTTCGTAATAGTAGAAAAAAAATTACAACATGCTGCATAAAATGCTCAGTCTTTGACGATCAGTCAGCTTTATAAGTGGTCAAACCAAAATATGACATCATTTTTTGAGGACTTCGGCTGTTAGTTTGATCTATGTAATAAGGTGTAGGCTGCCTGACTAGGCTCCTTGAGACTCCAAAAACCCATGGTTGGAGACTGTTATTGGTATGGATCAAAGTCATTTTCAATAGCGCAGATGCACTCACTCTCTTATCTCACAGATCTACTAAATTCCCATTATTCATGTAATTATTCTGCTTGTTATAGTTTTTTTGCATTTGCTCTACCTTTATGTTGTGCTACACATGTGAAAATTTCTACTTCCAAAATTCAGTTCAGTTTTGTTTCAGAAATGGTACTATTTATTAAAAGCTCATCAAGACCTTCCTATTCTTGAAGATATTTCATTAATTACTGACCCACCACACTATGTGGAGTTCCATAAAAAAGTGATATAATTAACGTGTTTGACCATCTTATTCCTTATAGTCAAATAAAGTTTTGATACAAATGAAAACACTGCAAACAATCCCATCTTATCATATTGACACTCGTATCTCATTACCCCAATGAAACAGCAGAATTATTCAACTGACTTACTCTTTAATGAATAATCAGACAACTTACTAATGGTAAAGGCAACGCAAATTGAAAATTCCTAACAAGCCTTTTCTATTTTTGCAAAAACTTTTGCCAACAATCACTTCATTAGCTTTTACATGTCTTACTAAAAAGTGAGGCGGCAAACTTATTTTGCCACCTAATTCATACTCTTTTGCAAAGAGTCTGTGCAAACTACCTCTGCATTGTTTGTCACCTTAAGTACGTACAAGTGAGTGACTGATGCTGAACATGCTTAGCGGCTTTCTTTTGATGTGTTGGAAGGTTATACAGCGTACCAGTACCTTTATTTGACAGGATTGTATCGTCAGTGCACTGTAAATCAACAAGGGAATGAATCCTAAGCGTGTATAATTGGCTCTATCGGTACACTTATAAGAAGGTTGAACAGCAACCATTATGGTCAGAATTTTCACCGAGGAATACTGGCTATCAACAATTTGTGTGGCAGTTCTACATAGGCTTTTATGGAGCTGTATAAATCGGAGTACAGAGCATTTTTTAGCGTGCTCTTTCTGGGGTTTAGAGCTAGAAATTACTAGAAATAGGGCAATTGGTGAAAACCTAGTATGTTTGTGTTCCAGAGTTTGTTAAAGGGTAAAGGTTAATTTCGCGTTGCTAGCTGAATCGGGTAAGTAGTAAAACCCGAGATAATCCTTTTGTATGCAGCCGTGATAGCAGCTAATGAGTTGTTGGCTCGCGACTAGGCGAATGGAAATATATGTTCAGAAGGTATTACTGGAATTTTATTGACACTTGGGATGTTAATCAGCAGATGGCTGAAATATCTTCTAACTATAAATATGTACGTATGAATCGTTATAGTCCACCTAAACGAAGCCATAAATACTGAACCAGTCTGATATTGAAAATTAATTGTTAATTTCTGATACAGAAAACGTAAATGTGTCATCTCATTAAACAATGTAAATATGATATTCATTATAATAAACGTTTTTTGTATTTCTCAATGAATGAAAAACAAAACGATATCGTGTTTACTGACGTTTCGCTATTTAATGCTAATAGCTTTATCAAAGTACTATTAAACCAGAATTTACAAAATCTCAGCTTATATATAACAACTTAATCATCGTTCCTCAGCATGGAGTCATTTTTGCGTTGTCAAATTGGCCAATTGGTAGAGATAACAAAACCAGGTGTAGATTGTTAGATTTGATAAGTGTGTAAAATTATAAAAGCAGCGTGTGTTTACATAATGAAATTGCTTATCACATTCGTGTTGATCTTGTCATTTCATGGCGGAGGGAAGTGTTGTAACCAAGTCAAATTCTGTTTTAGTCCATCATTCCTATTCAGAAAATTTGGATTCCACTTGATATGGAGTGCTTCTGATATTGAATCGTCAGTAAAAACAATATCGTTCATTGTTTTTCATTCATTGGGAAATACAAAAGCCTTTATTATAATGCATATCATATACCCAATGCCCAAATTTTTTCAAACTGTTAAAAGTGAAATTGGTTTGGACATATATAATTTAAATATGATTTAAAATATTGTAAATCAACGAAGTTGTGCTTGGAAATCAGTGTTACAGTGTTAAGAACCAACGGCTTCAGATTATTGTTGGTATTGTTCAAAATTGTTCTCAATGGCTTACATGCATTCACTCTTTGTTACTCCCCCCCCATATCCATTAAACCGACTATTTCTTCTCCCCGTAAATTTCTATTTCTTACGGTTCCTTTGAGTCCCTTTTTGTCTGTCTTTTGTGTACATTGTGTGCTACATAAAGTATGGCAAGTTAAATTGGTGCACTTCTGTGCAAATGCTCTATGTTGAAATTCAGTCATATCAGTAGAATTTTGGAACAGGAGTGCCTGTGCTTCAATTTTATTCCTGGTGTAGTGCACACACTTAGAGAAAACGAACTGATAAATACTTAATTATCGATTCAGGGAAGCATCTAAAAATCACATCTAAGCGGGAACAGAAAGAGTCTCGTTGTTAACAGTGGTTAGTTTTCAGATTGATATTTTATCTTAACTAGATATAAACAGGAAATCATCAAAGATTATTTTATCGCTTTTCTGATATGACTCTTCTCTCATGTGATGCGATTATGATTTCCGGGGGGGGGGGTAAACTATTTCGCGTTACGACATCATTTGCTAGTCAGTGGGTATCAATATTTTTTTTGAAAATTGTCAGCTGGTTTTATCCTGGGACTAGAGATGCTTTCTTAAATGACTTCACCTATATAGCACGTGGAGACGTGCTCATTGGCTTAAGTACTTGACTTTCAACCAGTGGGTCCCGGACTCGAATCCCCTTTCACCTACTTTCACCCTAGGGAAACTAGGTGATATCATCAGCTTTCAACGAATAAGTGTGACTGATAGCATGGAACGTGGAAGACCTATCCCAGGAAGTAAGCTGAACCAAGCGGTGTGCTGGCATCTGGGTTGGGTATTCAGAAGTACTTTCTGTGTTTCAAATATATAACTTGATAACAGAGTACATTTTGTCAGTTATTTTTCTCAACCTTTTAGCAGTGAAGCAGAATGAGGACATTATATATTGTATTATTTATCATAAATCTCTTATACAAAAGCATACTATTATTTGTGATTTGCAAAGATATATGAAAATGTTTGCTACCTAATCTTGCGTTTGGGTTATATTGGCAGAAAATGTTTCTTAGGAATTCCTCCAAAATGGCGGTCCGATGTAGCTCATCTTCCCTATACCCCATATACGTTCTTGCAGCTACTCATGGTATTATAAATTTAATTCTCAATTTACACATATTTGCATAAAACTATCTACTACTTTGTGACTGAGATAAGTAGTTGTACGCCATTGACGTCAACCAGTTTGCTTCACTCTTGGTTTCCTGATTATCATTTTGTGGTATCAAACAGATCACGTATTGTCGTCTGAGCATTCCCAAGTGAAGTGATAGAACATGTCGACCACTTCACCTATTTGGGAAGTTGTATCAGCACCAACGGATTGATTGATTGGTGACGAAATCTCAGCACGTTTACAAATACCTCGTGTTGCTTTCGCTAACTTACACCGTCTCTGGCGTAGGCGTGACATACAGCTATCAACCAAGGGACGTGTATACTGCTCAGCAGTTCACTCCGTCCTTCTCCATGGCTCCGAAACATGGCCAATACGAGTTGAAGACATGAAAAGGTTGACTGTTTTTGATCATAGATGTTTACTATCTCTTTCTCACGTTAGGTGGCATAATAAGGTAAGTAATGTTGACGTTAGGCGTAGAGTGTTGGGCAAAGAGGGAAGATCAATCGACGAGCCTATTAAGTTACATAGATTGAGATGGCTAGTTCACGTGCTGCGCATGCCTAACCATCGCCTCCCCCACCCCGACGGGCATTACTAGCTGATATAGGTGCTGGTTGGAAAAGAGTAAGCGGTGGCCAAACAAAAACATGGCCTCATCAATCCATGAAATCCTTGACAGCTAAACTGAGTCAGGTTGGGAGATGCAGACTTCCGGGTTGGGGCCCGTCCTCGGGACTCTAAGAATCAATGGCTGGAGAAAATAGGTGACATGGCTCAAAATCGTTGTCAATGGCTTATGCAGATGTATTCAGTCTCTGTAATCTTTCATATTCCTTTCTACCATTATTCATTCTGTTTCACTCTTATTCTTGTCAAAACTCTACTGATTCTCTTCTCTCATCTTCTTGTCTACCTTTGTGTGCTGTTTGGAACGTGGCAACTCGAACTGCTGCACTTCGGTGCCAGGTTCTATGTTGAATCCAGACAGACGTACAGTTTGAAAACTGTGAATCCGATTTAAAGTGTCATCAGTTCGCCCTAGTAGCTAGCCAGAAATCGGGTTTTCTGAACCGATTCAGCTCTCTCAGCTGAGTCGAACTGGGTACACCGATGATGAGCTCCACTGCAAACCAGCGAAACGGACATCTGGTAGTTAGATCAATTCGATCTGGTTAGCACAATATGCTTAACTCTAATTTTTAAGTATTCGCCTGTCTTTGTATACTAACTGGTTCTTATATATATGTATATATATAAACTTTGTGACACTACTTTATTCCTTTTTCTGTTTTTTTTATTTTCTCAGTTTCCAATTTAGTTGGTCGAATAAGTAATTCAAAAAGTGTGATCAGCAGTGGTAAACATGCTCCTGTTGATCGATCGGAGGCATTTGGTGATATGGGTCGTGCAGTTGTTATACCTGCATCATTACAAGCAGAATCGAAACGAACATTTCATGTGAATGAATTTAATCTGGTTGCTAGCGATTTAATTGGTCTTCATCGTAATTTAAATGATTTTCGTCATGCCAGGTTTGTTTGTTTTAATGAGCTTTATTATTATTCATCTTTCTTAAAAATTTCAAACGCGCGTATTGATAACCGTTTACTGTTCACATGCGCTCAATGCTGACTGTGAATAATGGTCGGGAAAGTCACTGCTTTCAAATGAACTGTCGTCAAGATTTGACCGAATAGTTCTAAATATTTGGGTGCCGAGTGAGAAGTAGACATTTGTAAAAAGTTATATTTGTAATATCTCAGCGATATTGAAATGAGTAATTCCAACGTTTCGTTCGGCAATCTGGTTCGAACTTCTTCAGGGAAATTAATCAAAATTAACATAACAGAGGTTTTATATATAACAGGCACATCTTTTTAAAAACTTTGTCCAATCATGATTCATAAACACAAGTATTAACAAGTATAATAAACGAAATTGTATGAGCTGTGATCAAAGTTTTTAAAAGCAAAAGATGTGCCTTTTATATATAAAACCTCTGTTATGTTAATTTTGATTAATTTCCCTGAAGAAGTTCGGACCAGATTGCCGAACGAAACGTTGGAATTACTCATTTCATTATCGCTGAGATATTACAAATATAATTTTTTACAAAAGTCACTGCTTTGTTTAATTTATTGGCCTACTCTGTCAGTCCCAGCGGCTGGATCATGAGGTACAACTCTGCTCTACTAATTAAGGTTTAGGCAGCAAGGCAGTAACACTAGTCGTCATACAATATGTGTAGTTTATTGCTAGCTGCATGGAAATGCTATTGGTTATTAAGCAACATTTCTATTTTTCGGCTATCCGCACTGACTTTTATGCAGCTTGGGTTTTTTTGACTTACATTATTTCTCCGGGTATATAATAAGTTAAGGTGTATAACCTGAAATATATACGTTGACTGGGAATCGAACCCGGACCAACTGGCTAGGCATTCTACCTTTGATTTACCGACACTTTAGTCATTGCTAGTACCTCTTTCAACGTTTCACTTATCGGAATTTTTGATAGCTAGCCAGCTGTTTGTGTGTGCTTATGGCTTAGAATTTAAACTGAGGTATAGTGAGGGTTAAGGTAACTGAAGAATGACTAGACTCATACTTTCTACTACTTTACTAAGTGATTGTCTGTGGGAGTAATGTAGGAAAGTAGAGGTTATTTAGTCTGCAGTTCACAGGACTGGACTATATTGACTCCTAGCTTAAAGATAAGGAGTGAAGTGGTGGAGCATATTGACCACTTTACTTATTGGGGAAGTGCCATCCGCCAACGCCAAAGGGTTGATCACTGACGAAATCTCAGCACGAATACAGAAGGCTCATTTTGCATATACCAGCTTACTCCATCTCTGGCATACACGTGATATCCAACTGGCTGTCGATGAAAAGACGTGTGTACTGCTCATCAGTCCTCTCCGTCCTCCTTTATGGCTGTGAGCGAGACCTGGCCATTGAGAGTGGAAGACATGAAAAGACTAGCTGTTTTTGATCATAGGTGCCTTTTTTGTATCCCCCGTGTGAAGTGGTAAAATAGGGTGAGCAATATAAAGGTTAGGCTTCAGTCGGGCGCTAGGTAAGGAGGGAGGGGAAATCAGTCGACGAGGCTGTGAAGGTACATGGTTAGGACATGTGCTACGTATGCCTAGTCATCGCCTTCCTCGACGGGAAATGTTAGCGGATATAGGGTCTGGCTGGAAAAGAGCTAGCGGCGATCAAACCAAAACATGGCACCAGTCAATGAAATCTACAACAGTTAGTTTAAGCCAATCACGTAGGAAGGTGTAGACTTCCTGGTTGGGGTCCTCGGGACGGTAAAAACCAATGGTTGGAAACAATTGGTGACATGGCTCAAAATCGTTCTCAATGGCTGGTGCAGATGCATCCACTCCTTGTGACTTGTAATTTCCAATGAAACTATATTGTTCTTCGTTATTACTATTCCTTTGTCTCACACCTCTGTTTACTGTCTCTAATATGCATTTCTTCTGCTTTCTTCTCTTGTTTTATGTGCTACATAGAGTGTGGCGACTCGAAATGCTGCAAATCGGTTTAGAGTTCTATGTCGAAAACAGAGAGACAGACAGGTTGTTTCAAAAGGATATTTCACTTCTCCACTTTGCCATTTAATCTGTCTCTCTGCTATTCAGTATTCTTGCGGAAAACACCATACACAACATTCTACTTACAAAATCTCGTCAGTAGCACCTGCTATACTCCTACTCCCGGCAGAAAGTTTCTACTGGAATCGCTCTGATCTTCTCAGTGCTATTCGCTCTTGATTTGTCTTGGTACCGACTTTTATTTTATCGCACTGTATTTGCCTCTGAAGTTGTCTGGTATTAACACATTTCTGTTTACCTCCTCTTCTGATGGTATAAACAAGACCACGTCTCTAAGTGACAGTGTTCTGTACTTTCTTTCCATACACTTTACTTGGTCTCCAACCTAAAACGTTACGTAGTTCTTTTTTTTCTTTTTACTCGGATTTCTCAGTGTCTATCTTCTGTCGATGCTTCATATTTCTGATTACTTCTTTCCGTTCCACTTCACATCACTTCACACTCCACTGTTGGTAATGCAGCTAGGTTTTATTGTGTGTAATGGTAGTCGTCGTTTCTTATCATACATCAGCTAATAAAACGGTGACTTCCTTGTTTTTTTTTCCTAGATGGAAGCACGATGTGCTAGCAGTCTTAAGAATGCACTCATGTTTATCCATAATATTATCATATTATCATTACCATATCATACCAATGCTTGAATATCAATGAGATGCTCACTGGCGACTGGCCCTATTCAGGTAGGTAGTTACCTGGGGTTCCAGTGAGAAGTCGTGACCAGTAGGGTGCAGCCGGTCGGGTGTGAGGACAAATACTTGCCGAAGACATTGGCTAGCGGTTGCGCTATATCGTGAATTGGCAGAAGTTAGAATTCATGGGCCATTGGATCGGGTCCCAGTGGATTAATGGTATACGATCTCGCCTTGTAACCAGAAGGCCCTGGGTTCGAACCCCGGTGGGTGCGTACTGCTGAAGAGTCCCAAACTAGTACGAAACAGCTGTCTAGTACTTCCAGATTTTCCAATGGTTCTCTAACCAATGTCACCTTATGATGAAATCCTGTAACCAATCAACCAAATCCCTACAAACCAATACTTGCACATTGATTTTGTTTGCTCTATCTTTTCTTCTTTCGTCTTATGATGTTTCTTGGCTTTCGTTAGATAACATATCCTCCTTCTTCCCACCGTCTGCTTGATTATACCTGTTTGAGATGTGGTAATTGGAACATTAGAAACAGTAGTGTTTCCTCCTATTTCGATAGGGGATCTGTCTTCGTATTTGTTTGTCTATCTAACTACCGATTAACAGATGCATATGTTTAAAAGGATGTCAAAATCTTTTCTTTTTTTATCAAAAAAAGACATTGAACATTAAAAAGAAATTAGGAATGGTGACTCATCTGCTCGTTTGTTATCATTGGTAAATTGTTGCTGGCATTATTGATTTTTTCAAAAGTTTTAATGCTAATTTGTCAGTTGCACTTAGTAATGGAAAGGAGATATGTCTTATTGGCTTAGAAACATTAGATTATCAGTTAATGGGACACAGGTTCGAGTTATGCTCAGCCTACTTCAGCCTTGAGGAAACTGGGCAGGGGTGGTGGTGAACCGTCAGCCACTCACGTAATAATTGTGTGGTTCATGGTCTTTTACATGGGAAGTCGGACCCAAGTAACTGAATCATAACAGCAGTGATAGGATGGGAAAAAGACATCTGATTTGGTGTTCCGCTGTGTGTATGTGTGTGTGAGGGAGGCTTGATCATGTAGTGCTTGCTAGCCAGATATCATCGATGTGATCTAAAAACCGAATGGCCGTTCCACTCATTGGAGTCCCAGTTCATCAGCTCGCTGTACCTGGTTTGACTAGACTCAGAAAGCTGAATCAGTTCAAATCATCCAATTTCTGGCTGGCGGCTACTAGAGAGAACTGATATTGGCATAAATCAGATGTATAGTTTGTAAATTATTTTGTAATACAAACAGTTCTAGGTGATTATTATTTCACCACAGTTTCCTTTGGAAATCGAAATTACTCAGATCACAGTATGTGATTTGAGTGGTATACAACTACTCATCTCCATCAATCAGTAGTATATGTGATTTTTTTTGCATTTATGCCTGATTTCTTGATTACCATTTATGGTATTTCCAAAGGAAACTTGCGTGAAATTTCACTTCTCAAACTGTGTGTGTAAATTGCAAATTTGACCTGATAAAATATGTTTCCCATAAATTGCTGACTGTGTTACTGATACTTTGGTTTGCCATTTAAACAGCGAAGGTGTCTAGAACATCTACATTACCTTCAATGCTAAGCTATAAATTATTCTACTTTATTACTTATTACTGTATTCAACTATAATGACGTATAATTCATAATAAATAAGAGGAAACCAAAGATTTCCTCATCTGGAAGAGGATAGAACTCATATCCCACTGAAGTTTATCCTAGTGGTTGAGAATAGTCAACACGCTCATCTCGTAGTCTGCGAGGGGTTGGGTTCAAACCCTCGACTGGGTGATAAGTGTACACCCAAATGAAGAGTTCTAAACTAGGACGAAATAGTTATCCAATACTCCCTGGTTTTCAATGATTTTCATTTCCTGATCTAACTTGGAACCAATAAAATCTGTGCAAATCAACACTTGAAAATAAATATCACTTTCCAATAATTTCATTATGAAGCAGCTGTATGTATAGTAGTAATATTTATATCACGTAATAAAAAGGCATTAAGAGGCACCATAAAACAAAATGATCAGTTAATATACATAATATTTAAATTATACACCTCATTCAACAATTGTACGATAATGCTACTGCATGCCAAGTAATCCACAACGGGAAACTCATGGAATCCTTCGAAGTGAAGACGGGAGTAAGACAAGCTGACTGCCTACTATCGCCAATGATTTTCCTGATCGCAGTAGACTGGATAATGAGACAGACAGACAGTGGGCAA